CTGAAATGTCTTCAAGATAAAAACAAGTAATAGCTTGGATGGAGGGTACTCTAGTCGTTATGTGCCACGTGACAACAGGGTTGGTACTGTTCAACTCGGCCAGTTCCTGCAGGTCAATAAAAAATCCATTTTTGTTGATTGGTTTAAAATGTATTTCAAGCAAATTGATCTAATAAATGAATCAAACTGGCCGGAGGTCTTGTTCCCATTCTTTTGGTCCAGCCGACAATCTGGTTAGTTCTAATAACTATGATTGTAAGTATGGGTGACATCCTAGGATTTCTATTTCATTATGATCTTGTACTTGTAATGTTACAAATTTATTTAGAAGGGTTAAGATGCAGAAATTTTAGTTAACGGAGTGACTTTAAGATATTGTTTAGAATCACAAAATCAGGAGGCAAATAGAAGAATTACAGTTATTCATATCACCCTCTGCTGTAGTTGTTATATCTTATTGCTGTGTGATTCCAGGTATGAAGGCCTCTCAGAAATGTTCTTATCATGTCCAGTGCCAAAGCTGTTGCTGTTAGCTGGAACAGACAGATTAGACAGGTCCTTTCTGGCAGATCTCCAGCTCACCTTACTATATATATCTTTAGTCCAGCATGTTGTCACTGATGAAAAATCAATTGCTAGAGCTGAATCCAGATAGTTGTCACCAAGGTTCGCCATACCATGGCATACTGCCCAGTACAAGCGGTATATACCGATCCAACAGGAGACCGGTATGGGCGATACATATCGGTTTGTCGGTATGTCCCATCGTATCATGTGTTAATACATTGATACGGTTTGGTACATAGCATACCGATGGTTGGTCAGTACATCGGTATGGATCGGTAAGACAAACTATGGTTGTCACAGTAAAATATTATTCATTCTAGTCTGCTTCCTGTTCTTGTATTTGTGCACTTTGATGTGTAGTGCAGGCCACTGGCATAATCAGCAAGAAATTGTTAGGTTTAAATCAAGATATAGTGGAGATGATCCATTAAATTCCTTGGCTTCCATATACACAACTGAATAGTATGTTCTGATATGTAGAGCACTGACTCTTGCCGATTGAACTAACCTGATTATGCCGCTGTAGTGTCACGGACTTAGCTAGCCTTTCCTAAGTCGTGCGGCACCCTTGCATGTCCGTCCGCAAAGGTCAGCCTCCCCGAAACCTCCCATGGTCCCTTAGGACCTACAAAAGAGAAAACGGGTTAGAGAAAGCACCTCACTCGGGATCCAAAAGCAAACATTCCAGGAAACACTTCATAGACAATGTAAATTACAAACAGACTTTACAAGCTCTGAACAGTTGCACAACAAAGGGTCAAAATGGTCCACTACAGATCGACTATCTCTCACAAGTGTCCACATGATACATTTATTTACAAGCCTAAGAAGGCCACCAAACCCAACTAAAATGAGACTGTTAAGCCTTCGACCGTTCCTCTACATGTTGTGCAAAGCATGAACAAACAGAAAGACACGGACATACACAAGTATTACATCAAACATCTTGTTTAGAACTTTGTCCGTGATAGTAGGGCATTGAATTTCCATGCCGGTTAGCCTCTGGCAGCAATCCAGTTCATATTCATTGCATGGGTTAGCTTGCACCAACTATGTTTCAGGTGATTAATGTAGGAGGATGTTCCAATTAATTTTCTTGGATTATGTGAGGATAATCTAACATCTCTTAGTATATCTCATAGTATATCAGGATAAACTTGTGAACAAATAAAGAATGCATAACCAAAGCCTAGTCTATACTAAAAAACAAAGCAACAATGTTTCGACTGGCCCCTGACCAATCCGCGTTAGATCAGTCTGGCTCCTTACTTGTTTCGGTCTTGAACAACCTTGATTGGGTATCTTTGAATGTCCAAGTTAGGTCATGCTGTCAAGTGGTCTGAGCAATAACTGCAGACTCAACAAGAATTTGCTTTTCATCATCAATCCTGGGCTTCTCCACAATGGATTAATTGGACCTAAGGCCTCAAGTGTGATGTCAATGAGATAAAGCCACAGGAGACTGGCATCTGCCCTGTGATGTTGAATGGTCATATTATGTTTTCTTCAGCCACTTGGCTGAGCTTGGGATCCACTTTTGTAGGACAGTGGAATGCTCTGTGGTGTTTTTGATTGTCTGGAAGTTCCAAAATGACAAGAAAATGATGAACAGAAGGAATCTAAGTGAAAAATGGTGGAAAAGGGACGATGACCAAATAGAAATGAAATGAAGAAAGCAGGGAAAAAAATTCTGTACTTGCTCTCTAGGTCCTCTGAACTCCCTCCATGATGTGGAACATCACCATTGTTATTATGGAAAGATTTCTTGCTGCTATTGATGCGCAAGCTTATGTTGCTTTTTTCAGTTTATAACCACTTCAGATGCAACTGGAAAGGAAAAGATTGAATCAATTTCCATTGATCTGTCCTTAATTACTGGTTTCCTTCCCCTTATTGTGATCTTATTTTACATATTTGTTTTTACTTATTGAGGTCATTTGAAGGTCTGTTGTTATTTCTGTCAAATATATTTCAGTTCGTACCACAATCTTTTCTTCGATCAGTATGCATCACCCTTTTGTTATGTTTTTTTGTGCCAATTGTCACAGGGTAAAATAACTGTCATGGAGCCAATAAAAAGAAAATTCCTTGCTTATTATCAACTTTTAATAGATTAATCATTTTAGTGAATTGTTTAATTTATAAAATATATGAATTTATGTCATCCAACTTATGCCATTCTGTTGGATTCAGAATTAGCACTTCCATTCTGTCGCTCGTATACTTTATATTGTAAAGTTAATGTCTCAATGACAATCCATTCTGTATGATTAAACTTTTGAAGCTTTTGTAAAGTTTTAATCTATGGCCTAAGCACTATGTAGCTTTTGATGCTTTAGTAAGATGTAATCCATGGCGTTGACAACTGTATGTCTTTTGATACAACAGATCTCTCACAATTGGACAAATGCAAGGCAAATTCCAAATGGTAGTTGTTCGGCACACTGGACACGCTATACAGGTGATGATCATTTCAAACTACCGATTCTTATGGCAAAAAAATGAACTGCAGATGTCTAAAATATATTAGTGATTCACTACTGGCCCAACATGTATGGAAAAGGTGCCTGCTTTCATCAGTTTAACTATTTTTACAACAACTTAAGTAGGGCTAATATAATAACCTCAAATTTCATATATTAATGTACAGTGTACACTTGGGGCTTTATATACTATGTAACAGTAGAGCTAGTATTACAGTCTCAATAATGCACTAAATTCATTAATGCGAGCTGGTTACATTATGTTATCAGGGTGTTCCCAATCATTCAGGCATCTATTTCTTATATGTAAAGCATGAACTTCATTAAAACTACATGCTCACATCATTGCTGTTATTGCAGGAAGATGTACCTGAAGAATTTGCATCTCTCATAATCAACTTTATATCTCGCAACCGGATAGGCCCAAATGGTGTCGAGGTTAATAACTCTTGTGACTTTGTTTGAGATCAAATTTTTTTTCTTATATTTTTAAGCTAATACATTTTTCCTTTGAATTTGCCATCTACAATGATAGATCGTAGTATTTTATCACCGTAATCCAGCTTAGATGTAAATGTTAAGTTTCACTTGCCATGTTTTGTGTTAAAAAACAATAAATAGGTCCCTTTTGGTTTAAGTTGACAAATAGCTTAAAATTTTTAAGCTGCATCATGTAAATCATATATTCAAGGAAAGATGAGATGTAGGACATGTGGAAAGAAAACTTTTTTTTTTATAAATGATATATGGTACGTGTGTTTTCTGCATTATGAAAATATGAAATGAAAGACGATAAGATTTTAAGAGGCCTCTGAAACCAACAAGGTCAAGTTCTTAATGTCATGATATCAGTTGCTATATACGGACTATCACTATAGAGTTCTTCCGTCTCAATCTTGCATTTCTTGGTTAAAGAGCAACCCGACGTGATACACATGTTTATGATATTATCGGTATAGGACTGACTTTCGATGGAAGGTTTACAGTGAAATCTCCCAACAGTATCCTGTGAGCATGGATGGCTAGTAATTCTTTAAGTTTGATTATCTTATGCTCAGCTGCATGTATGTTTCTGAAAGACAGATACTAAACATTGTGAAGGTTGATCAGGCATCTGGACAACATGACTTCCGACCTTAAAATTGCATAAAAATATGTAGCATGAACTGTTTGTCTAGTTTGAGAACTTAAAAGCAGGGCAAAGGAGTAATTCATTGTGAATGGACATGCTAACCTGGTATTATGATGACCAACTTAGCAAAAAATTATAATAGTAACTTGTGGTAATTTCCTCATCTCATAGATTTAGTTCAATCGGATAGCTATGTGATCATGGTGTCTCTGTTGCCTGTGCCAAAAATCATGCTCGAACATGTTCTATGTTCATATTTTTTGTTATCATTGTGGCTTTCATTCCTTTTTAATTCAGTTCATGACTTGCATTCGCTTCTGCAGATTCCAGGGTTAATCCGACGACCACAGTAGAAGAACTAGTTTCTGAGAGGTGGCTGAGAAAATTGAGCAGTTCTAGTGGTAGAAAAAATAATTTCTCAATCGCTAAAGTTTGTATGTCTTTTGGATTTTTCTCCAGATTACATATTAAGCAAATTTGAGATCATCTTGGGCATGTGCTGTTGTCTAGTTAGATATGTCTTTCATTTTGTCTTTGATGCATACATAGTTTAGCAGACAAGTTTTGTGTCAGCTTTTCTACATTCTGGGAACAAGACCACCTCTAACTCACAACTTGATGGTCAAGTGGTAACTGATGCACTGTACCTTATTATGTAATTGGCTGGAATTGATCGACATGATGTCGATCTGATCTTACACTGATGGCAATTTTATATAAATCGATGCTAATCTCTCTTATATAAATGATCTGAAATCTTCTTTTTTTTTTTTAATCTCAACCTTGGTAAGCAAACAACTCATCAGGTTTCCAAATGAAACCAGGTTGCCAAGTGAAGCAAAGCAAACAATATTGTGCACAGTTTGATGCATCGACTGTAAGAAAACTAGTTCTGGAAATGGATCTGTTGATACACTGGCATGGAAGAGAATGTGCCACAGATTTGAATTCTCCTTTGAATTAGAGAGAGTTCAAAGGTTGACGAGCGATAACTTACAGATTCTAGTGGAGACAGATCTGGGAAGAATCCCTGTTTATTAACGGAACATGTGGGAAGCGTGTCACTTCGCTAATAGCTGCTCAAAAGTAACAAGACGGAATTCTGCTATGGGAGTGAATGCAGCCGAAAACGGCGAAACAACTTCTCGAGGCCCGCGGCTGCCGCCATCGCGGATATACGAGATCCGCAAGAGGGCCGAGCTCTGGACCGCGCCTCCGAGTTGGACCGTGCCTCCAGCCTCGCCACCGTCATCGCCGACGAGCAGCTCGAAGCTCCACCCGATCGCTCTCAGCGACCCGGCGGCTGCGACATGTGCAACGTCCCGGACGGTTCTTCCCTACGGGCATCGCCCGAGCACCGGAGCAGGACGCAGGATAGGATAGGATGGGGAGGAGGATGTGGTGGTCAAGAAGGAAACATCGAGTGGTGGAGAGAGTCATAGTTCGTCGTCGTCGACCGAGGCTATAGATGTGGAAGAGAAAGAATCCGGGTGCAGCGAGTGATCAAATTGATCAACATTCGACCCTTACCTCAAAGAGTTGAAAATCTTGGCAAAACCCTAATCGTCAAGATTATTACGCAAGGGAAGATTGGACGATTTCTGGACGGGATCATGTCACCATGGATGCCTGCCGAAGGATGGACAGCTACTCTGACGGGGCGAGGCGCGGAGGCAAAGAGTTCCAGATCGATTTGGCCGGAATAAAGTGACGAAGCGACGGCTAATTTCCAAGGACTTGAAGATGGAAGATGGAGAAGCTGGTTGTATAGCAAATGTAGTACAAGAAACCATAGAAATGGCATCAGCCAACGATTTGGGGATTCATTTAGTTTGAATGTTGACGTCTGGCAAGGGAGAAATGGTTAAGATCGGTCAATGGAAGATGCAGCAGTACCAATAGCACGTCCGAAACAGAGAGGATGACACTGCGACTTACCAGAGGCTAGTTCAACAGGGAGGGTAACCATGGCAGGAAAAGTTCCATGCAGAGTGGAGATAATGGTTACAAAAGAAATGCTGAGAGGTCTAAGCACCGAAGACAACCTGATTTTGATCGGAATTTTTGGTTGGAATCTTGAATTCCGAGGTCCAATGATAACAACAAGCCATAATTCTTAGCTATTTGGGATCGGCTCAATGGATCTTTATCCAATATTGAATTCCAAGGTATCATTAGAAAATATTTAGTCTCCATACAAATAAATGAAGTGCCTATGCTCTCAAGAAATCATCTTCACCAGCCCTTGAAAGCCCATATCTATGCTTTGTCCTATTGGATTTATGCCTATGTTTTGAAGTTGAAAGTTTCTCTTCTTTCTATGCGAGTGACTCCTACTAAGTGCTTTAAACTGCTGATAAATAATGATAAAGATCCTAAATGTTTCAGTGAAATAGCATCCTATTCTCTTTTATTTTACTATTAAGTGTTGCACATGTCCTAGCTCAATATTTTGTTTCTTACCTTCACTAATAATTATTGTGGCTTGCTATATATGGTCCTTTCATTTCAACACAGGGAGGGCTACACACTGCCTGTTTATACACCATCTTACCAAAGAACGAATGTGGCAAGCTGATGCACATTGTGTTTTTTGCTATCTGTCATACCGGCAATGTGTTTCTGCTTTTGGTTATTTACTAATGTTGGGAGGTTTGGAATTCACATTGCTTATCTTAAATTCAACCATTCTAGTATTGTGATTAATCAATCAACTTAGTTACCAGTTAATGCTCATGCTGAGGTTCAGGAATGTGAACTTCCATCATGGGTTTCTTTCTTCTAATTCATTCAAGAACGCATGAAAGACCATTTATGTTATTTACGCATTTCTATTTGGTTAAATTTTTTTTTGTGATAACTACATATAGTCAGAAATAATTTGCATGAAGTTATTCCAAAAGTGTTTTCGTTCCTCACAGATCAGGCCTGCTTGTTCTTGTGATTGCTTATATTCCTCAATGTTGACTCAACATAGTGATTTGTTTGCATCTTTCTTTTCTTTATCATTTAATTTGTTCGTGTATTGATTATTAATATATATTTTTTCTTGTTTGACATGAAGGAAGAACTTTCCAAGTACACTGTGATGGTGATTCTAACTCAAAAGTCAATTAACCAGGTAAAATGGATTCACACTTTCTGCTCTTTAGTCTCAAGTTTTAATACATATAATTTGCTATCTTCTAGCTACCTATCTTATAAGCATGTTTTCTGATAGTTCTGGATTTACCTTCATCGCCATTATTCTCATTGTAAAAGATCTTACAGGTTTAGAATTGCACTCAATTTAGTACTTATAGTGATGATTGAATTGCTATGTTCTTGATCATATGTTGATGCTGGCATAGACAAGTGAACGTCCCAACAATTGCTAGTTCCAATTTGCCATTTTTCCCCTAAATTTTTTGCTCATACTACTGAACAAAATACATGGAAAACTATGAATCATTCCGTAATAAGTAGTGGATTTACAAGTGTTGGATTGTCTGTAAGAAAGTCATTTGCAGTATGTCTCCATGTATTTAGACTCTTCTAATACTGCAAGTAAATTTGTGATTTGAAGTAATTATACAAACAGATTATGTGTTGGAACTTATGCTAGTAATATATCATTTAGTCAAAATGGACAATGAATTGGATTACCAATTCTACCAACACGATACATTAATTTACACCTGAAAGAACTTAAGCAATATTTTGTTCCCACTTTGATCCTCACAACATCTAACTAAATACAAATTACAGCATGCAAATCTGGCTTTATCAACTTTAGATCAATCCCACCATGCTTATGTTATTCTAGCTTGCTTGAAGCAAGGATTCATGGCTTTATCAACTTTAGATCAATCGCAACTATGCTTGAAGGAGGAAGTATTTGATACTGGCGTTTTCTCCTATAGCTTCATCATTTAAATTAGTCGCGTTTTGTTTGTTCCCTGACATGATTGCGTACTGTCACAAATGGGACGTCTGATGGGACTTTGTAAACTGGAGTGCATATGACGTGATGATGAAGATGGTCAACGTCTTTAATACGCACTGACCAAATGTCATGTCTCCCGTTGCTGTGATCTTGTGGTGGTGGACCTTCCTCTCTTTGATTTCTCATCTTTTGAACTTATGGTCTTTGTTGGATTTAAGAACAGCATCTGAATCAATCTCATTTGACATCTGTCTTTGATCCATCATCATTATCAGCATTTTATATCCCAGACATCATCTCAGAGACAAGACTTGCCCTCCTTTTTGGGATCCATTCATAAAAGACAGCAATGATAACACAAGGCTAAAGGCTCTCTGCTAGTGATGAATCCAGTGTAGGGCTGTCTTGGCTCTTAACATAAGTCAATTGATGCTCATCATAATATTCAAATTAGATTGGAGATATCTTTTGACAATGCCATCTTCTGACAATGCCATACTATTTTTATATAGTCTCAAACAGTCAAAACTCCTGCTGATGCACATTTACAATTGCAGTTCTTATTCTCTGAATTTTGCCTGTACTGGTTTGGCTAATATGGCTCTTGACATGAAATTGTTGAACTGTTGATTTAGCAAGGCAAGGATTAGTTTATTGATGTTGTTTGATACTCTCAGTACAATGGACTGTTTGTCTACTGGCACATGGATTTTGATTAAAGCTTGTGTAGATCTAAAACAGTGAGGCAAAACAAATTAAAGATGGAAGGTTGAGAAGAATTTTGCATGGAATGGAAACAATGGAGGAAACCGTAGACAGAACTTCGTACCTGTGATTTTTTTTTATTGCAGAAAAAGAAATATAAGCTAGCAAATCAACAAGCTTAGGTTTTATCTATATGTTTAGAAAGGATTATCTTGCACAATTGATTCATGAGGAAGGTTTTAAGCCTGTCGATAAGATATCAAACAAAAAGAGAGGTTTCTTGTTCAAGCCAAATTTTAGAGAAGACCATGATACATGTTGCTGCCCTATATTGCCTCTTGGCCAAATCGATCCAGCTACATTGGATCCATGGCCTAGAAACACCAAAATCCCAAAAAAAAAAAGGTGTCCTGTAGCAGAGATCTTTATACTAAGATGAGCGATTGCTTCCGTTGGAGGCCATGGATGACGAAGGGGGAATGTTGAGCTCAGGGGTATTGGCACTGGGGTTGGAGCTGGAACTGGATTTGGCTAGCTTCTGCTTGAGTTCAGACAAGAGCGCCTGGTTCTCCTGGTTGAGAAGCTGCGCCTTCTTTCTCAGCCTCTCGTTCTCCTTCATGATGTTGCAGTTCTGCAAGTACAGCTTGGTGTTGAGCCTCTCCATGATTTGCCTGCAGGAACAGTACCCCCGGAAGCATCACAATCAGAGGCATGTAAGTGAAAGAAAAAAGCAAGCATATGCGGATGTGAATCCGAAGCCACTGCTGGAAGACGTCTGATTTCTCTTGCAGAATGATCACCTTGGATGAGAAGAACCAAGTGAGGCAGCGGGAGGAGATGGAATGCAGCGGGAGTGTGGCGTTATTTATAGTGCCCAGGAGCAGAAAAAGGTGAGACATCTTCTCTCTCTCTCTCTCTCCCTCTCTCTGCACTCACAGGATTCATGCATGTGGCGACGTAAGCAAGCAGGGAGGGAGGTGAAGGCGGCCGAGAGGGGGAGGAGGAGGCAGAGGGTGGCGTCACGTGATATCTGGGGATGGCTCACCGGGAAGGCATCATGCGAGATGATGATGATGATGGCCCCAGAGATTCGCAATGATGGCGTCCCCTTCCTCCCTCCTCCCCCACCCCTCCCATCATCATCATCACCGACCCCTTCCCCCTTCCCCGCCATCGATGCGCTTTTGTTTTTTTCCCCATGATCGCATCGATGCCTCCTCTTGTTTCATTCACCACCTTCCCCTCACCTGCCTTCGTTTCTTCCCTCCTTCGAGATACTAACATTCACCACCTTCTCATTGGTTTGTGCTCTCGTTGCAGGCGTGAATCTGGCAATGCTAATAGGATGAGAGCATGAGGAGGAACTCCCTCTAGATTTACCAGGACAACTCGGAATGGAAACTGCAAAACTGCGTGTCACAGAACTGCGTGCGTCCCACTTGGCGTGATAGAATGAGGCTGTGGAAGGAGGAACACGATCTTATCATGCAAAAGGTAGGATTGCATGGTCAGACACCTGCAGGTGCCATCGAGTTCATGCTACTTACTGCATGCCTCACATGGCCTACCCATCATGAGCAACGCAGTGCCCCCTTCTTCTTCTTGTCTTGAGTTGCTGTCTGGGAGTCAAACTGGACTGATACATGATGATGAACAGGTTAGAGTATTCAATTCCTGCCCGCGTTAATTTTCTTGGATCGAGCCCACCGCGTTAAATACATGATGATGGCAAACTGGAAAAGAAGTCATCTGGAAGCTGGGTGTGACTGTAGAACAGATCTTTGTACCAATTAAGTCCGAGTTGAATGAAGGTGGAGGGAGCAGAGTCACATGGACCTTATCACCGGCGGTAGCTCCTTTTGTACCGTGTGGTCTGCACCTCAACAAACTGACGGCTTACCTGTTTGTAAAAGCTGTAAGTCCTTTGCCACCCAAATCTACGAGATCTGCGAGCGACCACAAAAGAAAACTAGGTGCCAAGTTCTACATCCAAGGAGGAAGAGGAGGTCAAATAGTTGGCGATTATCCAACTTAAACCGGCTTGTCATATTTGAATTAAGTCACCATATACATAAAATAAAATAAACTCAAATTCGGCCATCAGAAAAACTGCTTGTTAGGGAATACATACAACTCAATCATAAATGTGTGCGAACACTGTTGACTTACAATTGCTTAGGAGAGGCCCAACTATTTGACAAGGGGGAGTAGGTATGCCAAGTGACAATTTAGTGAAATCATATTAATCTCCATCTTGATTACAATAAATTTAGACTTGACATAGAAGTAGGTTGATCTGATCTGAGATCGAGAGCTATGCTGGAGTTAGATCCCTGAGATTGTCCTAAACCATGTGAGCTCTCGATCACCCGAATAGATGCCCTCAATCTTTGATTCTCGTACAAGATGGTTGTGGAGTGGAATGATCGAGAGTTCAAAGAGAAGAGAGAGAAAAAAAACTCAACTATTTATAGTTTGAAAGAACAATTTTACCCTTATTAGTGCCTAAGATTTTACAAGAGATGAACATTAAATCAGAATTTATATTTACTTTTAGTGTGGACAAGTAGCTGCCTAAGATAATCTACCTGTTAAGCTTATATTTAAAGCAATAAATATAAAAAATTGTTAGAAACTATAAAAGGAAAGCACAAATCTTGAACCCATTTATTTTGTATTTATTTTACTCGATTAAATATTATAATCCTTTCAACCGGTCTCTGTCTACATCAATTTATTGATCCATCGATTTAAGTCTACAAATTGATGGATTTGATTTCATAGCCATTGTTTTCGATCCGCTCACCGAAGGGTTGCATACATTCCGGTATTCCGTCCTTCCAAATGCATTGCATTGTATTGCTACCAACAACATTGCCTTTGGACTGCAACTATCTCGAGGGCCTCCTCGCTTGTACCGGATCTACTACGGCCACTCACGTGGTCCGCGTTGAGTGAGTCCACTTCAAATTGACCGAGTCATGACTCACTCTCCGTGCCAACCGCAATACGCGGAGACGACCACGTCCACGTACTCCCCAGCTTATTATTATTATTATTATTATTATTATTATTATTATTATTTGAGAGAAACTACGATAATAATATTAATAAGCCATATTTCTCCAGACTACAACGAGGAAAAAAAAGAAAATAAATAGAGAAAAAGGAAAAAGAAAAGATTGGGAGCAGCCAAACACACCAAAGGTCACATCGCAAGGGCGTCGAGCACGGGAGGGGGTTACCGTCCCGGGAGGATCTGGGCCGTCGATCGAGGGGGAGCAGGGAGAAACGGAGGGTGGGGATTCTTCAGATCCTGTTGAGCTTGTCGGCCTTGACGACGGGGTTGGCGCGGGCGATGGCCTCCCGGCCGGCCGCCTTGAAGTCGAAGGTGCAGCTGTGCAGCTCCGCGTGCCGGTGTGCCCCGCAGTGGGTGGCCCCGCACCGGCACCGGAACCCCGTCAGGCCCACCCTCTTCCGGCACATCGCGCACCGGCTCGGTCCCGCCGCCGCCGCCGCGATCGCCGGAGAGGCCAGCGCCGGGGGCCCTCTCGCGTTCCCGGCCGGGGACGCCACGACCGAGGCCGAGGAGGAGGCGTGGGGGGGTTTCTCGGCGGCGGCTACGTTGGCCGCGTGCGAGGCGTCCTGCCGCTGCTGCTCCTCCTTAAGGCGGTGGTCGCGGTAGCATTTGGGGCAGAGGTTGAGCGTCGCAGGGCTCCCGAGGAATCCACAGTTGTTAGCGCAGAGGCGGTGGCCCTCCTGGCATCGCTGCTCCTCCGCCATCCTCTTGTCTTCTCGGTCGATCTGAAGGCAGCAAATCAAACGAATTAAACTCTTTGGCATAAGAATCAACGAAATCCCATTTCCTCCGGTGCAAGAACAAGCAAGAGAACCCGAGACCACAAACACACGAAATCACACCCAATCCTCCACGAAGAACACAGTTCTCATAAACACAACCGAAAGGAATCGCACCTTTGGGGAAGAAGAAGAAGAACAACAACAAGAAGATCAAATCAACCACGAAATCGCACGCAATTCGCCACAAATAACATAATTCTCATAAACACAACCAAGGAAAAGGAAAAAAAATATATAACCTTTGCAGAAGAACATCAGGAAGAAGATCAAATCAACCAGAAAAAAAAGCAATCGCACGCAATCCTTCACAAAGAACACAATTTTCTTAAACACAAACAAAAAATATCGCAAAAAAAAATCTCACCTTTGGAGAAGAACGGCAAGAAGAAGATCAAATCAACCACGAACAAACAAAATCGCACGCAATCCTCCACAAACAACACAGTTTTCTTAAACACAAACAAAAATATGGCAAAAAAAATATCAGTTTTGGAGAAGAACAGCAAGAAGAAGATCAAATCAACCACGAGCATACGAAATCACAGCAATCCTCCACAAACAACAAAGTTTTCCTAAACACAGACAAAAATAAGGGTAAAAAAATCTCACCTTTGGGGAAGAACAACAAGAACAAAGTCAAATCCGTTACGACCGGTGCCTCCGAATCGAATCAATGACGGTGAGACATTAGAAAGACAAAGGGTACAGATGGTTCCGGCTTTGCTACACGGGACGGGAAGAGCGTCGATACCAGGCTGGATCGTAATATAGGGGAGGAGCAGGAGAGAGATAGAGGCGAGGAGAGAGAGGGTGGTGAAGGAAAGAGGTGGGCGCACAGGTATTCTACTTCCATCGTAGTGGGTATTATTAGAAGGTGGGTTCCCAATGATACCAAACAACGGCGGTGGTCCCTGTCGGCCCCACCAGGAAGATTCCAAGTGCCCTCCGTGCGTTCGGTGCATGCACCGAAACCCGCCTCCGCTCGCCTGTTGGGCACCGAACAGCAAACGAGAGACCAGTCTCGGTCGAGAACTTAGATGGGACCCACACATAATTTCGATCAAATTAATATAATCAAAGAATATAAGGAATTAAAGATGGTATGATCATCGAATCCTCCTCCATCCTCTATCAACATAAATAATAATAATTCTATCACGATATGATCATAAAAAAATCAAATCGATACAATAATTATTTTGTTTAAGTCTTATCGAGATGAGCCGATCTCAATCAGAGCCAATAATTTATGAGCTCACGGGTGGGAAAGATCAATTCTTGTATGAGTCGAATATGGTTAGAAGATTGGATTTCAAAAGTGGAGTGTTTTGAGTCCTATCAAGACTTATGCATCAATCAATTTTATATTAATGTTATATCATATCATATTATATTACATTGTATAAAATTTGAATACTCTAAAATAGGTTTGCAATTTTATCTTTTGACAAACCAATATATCATGCTAAATGGTTGTCATAAGAAATTTCTTACACTCACCGATCCTATCTCTCTTGAGAAAAATAAATAAATTATTGAAAAAAATTTTATCTTAAAAAAAAATTATGGTATAGCATCCTAATTTTTAAAAAAAAATTGTAAAATATCTCTGTGAAAAAATAATTGTCTCTAGCCCCCACTGGACCCGTCTTTACCTACGTCGCCCTCGCACGAGAACCATCATCACCTTTATGATCTCATTGGCCCTTGTCAAATTTGTCATCACCTTTGTGCATTCATTTTCCACGTGAGAGCCGCAAACGATTAACAATATGCAAGGATGACGATGCCTAAATGAGTCCGACGAGAATCAAGGATAAAATTATTATTTATAAAAAATACTCTATAAAAAATTTAAAAAATTGGAACGTTCTATAAGAATTCTTCATAAACTTTTTCTAAAAATTTAAAGGAAAATTACTTACACACATTTGTTATTAAAAATAAATTAAGATGATTGAAACCAACAATTTAGGTACATCATCAAAACGAGTAATTAGTTAGGCTTATTTTACTTGTCCTCGTGAAAAGACAACCTGAGACAAATTCGTGGGAACACGTAAAATGCATCCCCTATTTCCCTAAGAACACATACACCCCCCTCTGCCTTTTGCTGTCAGCTTGCACGAGTCTTCTCAAAGCCTGTCTTGTGAATTTGTTGGCTTCTGCAACTCCGGCTCGGTTGCCATATATTAATGCACTGCTTTGTCTCCTCCAGGATAAAAATGTTGAGAGATGAGGTCGCAGTTTGGCGTGATATCTGTATCTTGGCTTGAATGCATCCATTGTGATACATGTCTTTTGACTTGGCATGGTTTTCCTTCTCTCTTCGTCGCCCCGTTTCACTGTTTGTTTATAGTCTTATTAATTTCCTTTTATATTCTTTGGGGATAAAAACACCCCTTCCCTCGGATGGTACGAAAAATCTAATTTATGAGAAAATCAAATTAATAAGAAGTTTAATATTAATTGGAAGAGAGGTTAGGATGCTTGCTCAAGGGCTTAGTGAGTAACTTGCATCTTAAATTTCACGACTCAGTAAGTTTTTTTAATGATGGGTTTGACCTACGAAATATTCTGAGGTATGAGTAGAATAATCGTTTAGCATTTGTTCCTTATCCTCCTCATGCTAACTAGGCTACGACATGTCAAGTTTTTATTGGTGTGAATATTTTTCTTATTATATGTATCTCATCAAATGTGTGTTTTGATCTCTCGAAGAGATACTGAAGTCGGCCATGTGTTGGCTCAGCACATCAATTATGAGCACAATGGGTTTTGGTCAACTTGGTCACCTTGGGCACTATCAACTTAGTCACCTCGTGTGTTGGCCAACCAAATCACCTCGAGTGCTAGTCGATTTAGTCACCTCAAGCATTGCTCTTCTCAGTCGTGCGGATGCTTGGCCTACCTGGTCACGTCAGGCACTTGATTAACCTAGTCATGTCGAGCACTTGGTCGACTTAGTCATGTTGAGCAGTTTGTTAGCCTGGGCACTAGTTAACATGAGCACTGACTGGCTAGGCCACCTCGAGTGTTGGTCGACCTAGATATCTCGGGCAATGATCGACCTAGGCACTATTAGGATCAAGAGCACTAAGAGGGAGGGAGGGAGGGGGTGAATTAGTGTAGTTGAAAACTTTCGTCAATTAAAAAAATTTCGTACAAAAATCGTTTCAGAAAGAACTTTAACTTGAGAGCAAACGGAAGTATAGATGATGTAAAGCAACAGAGGTAGTTTACAGTTAAGATAAAGAGCAAAATATAAATGCAAACCGAGATTTAGAGTGGTTCGGTCAATCTTGACCTACATCCACTTTTGGCTTCCTCCTCTAACTTCCTCCTCTAACGAGGTCACCGACGTCCACTAGAGGCCTTCCTTCAACAGGCAAAGGCAAGAAGGCCAACCACCCTTTTACAGCTTTACTCCTTTTGACGGTCTTAGGAGACAACCCTTACAAATTTTCACTCCTCTCTTGAATGATCAAAACATAAAAGAAAATAGGGAGGAGAACTTCTAGTTTTTTACAACACTTTTAAGCTCTCAAATTCTCAGAATAAGATCAAGATTTTGATCACCTTTCATGCAGAAAAAGGTGAGATTTATATAGGCCCCAACTGGTTTGAATTTAGAGCTCAAAAATGTCATCTCCCGGATTTCCGGGGTCCTAACGATACTACCGCTTCGCATTGCTTGGAGACCGAGCTCACGTGGTACCACCACCTGACAGGGGCGGTACCATCGCCCAGAATTCTTGGGAGACTGAGCTCCTAGGCGATGCCACCGTTGGCCAGGAATTCTGGGTCCGAATGAGCTGATCCATTCGGCCCAATTTGGGTCTGTCAAGGACCCAATTACCCCCAGATTAAGTTAATAGGATCACCTCCCATTCCTAACTTAATATTCATACTAACTATGATATTTTAAGACATTAATACTGCAACTTGCTTCGGTGTGCCAATCGCTTCTTCCAACGAGCTTTCGGCGAACTTCCAGCGAACATCCGACGAACCTTCGGCGATGCTCCAGCGGACTTTTGGCAAACTCCTAGACTTGCAATGATCCACTTGATGAGTTCCGATGAACTTCTTTGGCAAGCTCCTTGACTTCTTGGATTTGTTCTTGTAGAACCTCCGACGACCATCCGGACTTCCGTCGAACTCTCGAACCCCTAACATGATCATGGTCTTGACTCTAGCGCAACTCCTACTGCATGTCTTACTTCCATTGTAGTTAATCCTGCATATGTAAAACAAACTTCGATCTAGACAATTAATACTAAGCATTAATCAAGTTTTTCGGCATGTCATTGGTCCCTCGACGCTTTGTCCGATTCTTCGGCGCATCGTCCTCTCCTACAGCCTATTACCCAATCGGCCAGTTGACTTCGCAACTCTGATATCCTTGGCACAATGTCTGCTCTTCTTGGCCCCATGCCCGAATCCACGGCTCGAAACCTTCTGTCAATACGTCGATTGATCCACCGGCCCAACGTCCAATCTTCTGACATGTTCCTCCGGCCCAACATGATTTTTCCTACTTTAATTATCTCATCTTTATCAAAGCATCCTGCATCACTCAAAACGTAGATTAAAACATAAACATAATTATCAATTGGTTTCATAATCAAAATACGAGATTCAACAAGCACCTCGAACATCGGTTGACTTGGCCACCTCATGTGTTGGCTAACCTAGGCACCTCAAGAGCTGGTTGACTTGGGCACCTTAGGCATTAATCGACTTGGTCACATTAGACGTTAGTTGACATGCTCATGTCAAGTAGGTTGACCCAAGGTCAGTCAATCTACTTGCCTTGGGGCCAAATCATTTCTCTCAAGTGGTGACTTGGCATGCTAGTGTTGTCATATCGAGGACCATAGTTGCTCAACTCAAGGACACATTCGGTGGTTTTTCATATGCCCATAAAGGGTGCATTGGAAGCGTTTTAGATGCTTAGCCCTATAAAGAAATTTAGGTGGCGACATCACATACACAGTGGAAGAACAAAAAATAAAAATCTCTAAATTTTTAAAAATATGTTCGTCGTCATGCAAATATTGGTGCGCAAAATCCGTAAAACTAAAAACTACGTATATAAAATATTATGTTTTATCTAGAGAGATCATATATCCCTAAATCCCTACATATCTATAGGAGAGGATGAAGGAGGTCAAGCGTCCTCCTCTCTAGCGATGATCCACACAGTAGGGCTACGACGACGATCCTCAAATTGCTACCCTAATCTTCATGCCTGCTATCTAAGGAGGAGAAGAGGAGAGGAGAATATGAGGTAGCAACCAAGAGAAGCTCTAGCCTATGAACCTTTGGTTCCCTCCTATTTGTACTCGGTGGCCCCCTATCAATTTAACCCTAATAGATCATATCCTATTGGGTATTGAATCTTCATCCAACTACCAAAACCTCTTAGATTAGTAGATCTCTATCTAATAATCTCTCATTGGCTCTTATTGGATCTCATCCATATGATCCAATAATTCATGAGCTTATTAGATATCCAATAAGATAGGGGCTCCGGCGGATATCTCATATTTGAACCTCTACTCATCGCAACGCCTACCATATGTGTGTGACTCTCTAGGCCCAATATCGAGCTGGTCATGAGTCATACTTGTCAGAACTCTTTTTGGCTCAGTGAATTATTATCTTCATAATAATTTACTCAACTCATCGACTGCGAACGTACTATGCCACTACGTTGTAGTCCCTAGACGATAGATGGAAATCCAATCCATTGGACCCATCTATCCTCAGTTACCATGTATCTATAGTCTATTATCGATATAATACCCCAGAGACTATATATCGAGCATGGTATTG